GGGTCATATGACTCGTGCAACCTGAATCGATCACCCAGTGAGTGAGGGGGTGCATCACAACCTTCCCAACTGAACCCACATCGCCCCTACTCCCTTGCACATCCTCAACCATGAGGAACATCACAGGGTCGGCTTTACCTTGTGCACCATCACATTGTGCACTTGAACCTTGCACAGCACCACCTCGTGCACGTTCACCACTTGGCGGCTTCATGCCTGGAGGCGCCCATCCTTCAGACCGGCTGAAACACTTGAACCATGGGTGTCCAGCCTTCTTGCAGTACCAGCACGCACCCTCCATTCGGGTGCTCCCCCTGCCACCAGAGCTCCCATGGCCCTCATTATAGTCACCTCGGCCTCTCCCTCTGCCAAAGCCTCTCCCACGGCCTTGGCCTCTCCCTCCCCCTCTTCCTCTGCCGCCTCCTGCAGCTCCATACCCCTCAGCAGTTTTGTTGGCAGCACCACCTCCCGTGTGGCGCCTGCAGAAGTCCTCCTGCAAGAATCTGCTGCCATAGCCACTCAGGCGTCCATTTGTCCTGCTGAACGTTGAGGGTGGGGATGAGGTTGTCCCACAAGTTGTCGAGCACCGAGATGATCTTGGTGCACTGTTGCATCTGCGACACTTCGCTACCCGCCGCTGCCATCCTCGCATAGGTGTCCTTGATCTTATCAAGGACCGGTTTCACATCATCTCCCGGTTTCATGGAGAGGGCAGCCCGCTCCTTCTCCAATACGATCACCATCGGCAGCGTGTTGGGCTGAACCACGTCGCGTAGCAGCTTCCACGCCTTTGGTCCCGAGTCATCGAGCTCCACCAATTCCTTGATGTGCTGGAACATGTCGTTGTTGACCAACTGTAGAATCAAGTTGTACAGCACCGCGCTCCGCTCAATCCACCGATTGCGGGCATCTCCTTCCTCAGGCAGCTTCTCCTCTCCCATTGCAATTTTCAGCAGCTTGTAGCGCTTGAAGGCGCTCCGCATCCGCCCGCTCCATTCCTCGTAGTTGGAGCCATCCAAAGCTTCGATCTTGGATGGTGGCGGCTCACTCCTCTTCTCGGCTGCATCTCCACTCCCTTGATTCATCTCCTCTGCTCCCAAACAGAGGGTTCAGCTCCCCTTTTTGCTGGTCACAATGTAGATCCACACTATCTTCACAGGTGTCGGCACCAACGAAATTTCGGCAGAGTTTCCCCTTAGCGGAAGTCACATCCAACCTCCAGAACTCCACTTAGGCACGCCCACAGGCCATGGTGGGTCTAGGAGGGTTTTCACACTTCAGTAGACTCTCCACAAAGTCCTTAATCAGCTCTGATACCACTTGTTAGAGACTAAGGACGGAGTCTACAAAGATTAGGTGCCTAAAATTCTCAAAATCGTTGGCTTAGAATTCTAGACAGAAAAGTCGCGCTCACAAGAAACGCCGTCGACGAAACGTTCACAGTTTGAACTTCACCAAACTTAGATATGTTGTAGCTCTACTTGATGGCTACAATTCCCAAGTTGAATCATACAAAACGATGAAGTATTTCTTGAGTTATCGATTTCGGCGCTCTAGGGGGTATGCTGCCATAGAACCTTAACTCAATCAGAAGAGTCTCACACAAGTTCACAGTTACTACACAAGAGAGTTAAAGTGGCAATAAACCAGGTGGGATGGGATAAGGAGGACGAGAGGGAAGGTCCCAAGGGAGTCCTCAACAAAAGAAACCCCATGCCACACAATTCCCTTCTCCATAGGCAACCCGACTTTCACTTTTGTCACTTTCCCAACCCATGCCATTCACCTTGCCCAACTTGGCCACACTTGCCAACCTGGTTTGGTTTCTCCCAACCACTTGGCAGCATCTACAGTGATGTTGACGAATTTCCCAACCCCCAAAAGTCTGTACCCCTTATGGAGTCAACCCCACAACTTCCCATAGTCACCACAACCAAATATCAAAAGCATACGAACTTCCAACGCTCCTAACTTTCTTGTTCGTGCTCCGAATGAAGCGATACTTGGTTCGTCGGAAAGCTCTTGAGCAGAGGAGTCACTTCAGATATCTGCTCAAGCCAAATAACATTTGCACACACTCAGAAAATTCAAACCACACAAAACACAAATTCTTGCAAACGCTCACACCACGCATGCAACGCACGAACATATGATGGAAGGCAGACGAACGTGAATGCATATGATTGCATCACACAACATGATGATCACCAGGTGGAAGTGCCTTGGTGAAAAATGAGCAGTGTTGGCCCGAATGGCCATGTGAGCAAGACAAAACTGACCACGCTGCTGCAACTCTCAAGCAACGAAGTAACGCAGAGCGATGTGCTTTGTTCTGTGCTCCAGTCTGTGCTCTTGACACAAGGCAATGGCGGTCTTGTTCTCAACATAGAGAACTGGAGGAGAACGAGGCCGCCCTCCCAAATCAGTCAGCAGGTAGGTGAGTCAGCGTAACTTCTGAGCACCCATGGCTGTCGTGTAGATCTCAGCCTCACAACTGGAGCCGAGAACAGAAGATGAGCGTGTAGACCGCCAAGAAATAGAGCCAGAGCGAAGACCGAAGGTGTAACCCTGTGACGACCATTGCGTAGCCTGGTCATCAACCCAAGAAGCGTTTGAGTGCCCAGCGAGGACAACATCACCCCGTCCTCCAAGAACGAGCCCCATGCCCGATGTACTGCACAAGTAGCGCAGTACCCTCTTCACAGCATCCCAGTGCACCTTTCGGTGCCTACCAGGAGCCACGTAATGAGCCAGAAGGCCAAGAGGGTACGCAAGGTCAGGACGAGTGCAAGTCTTGAGGTACATGAGGCAGCCCACAAGCCCTGGGTAAGGACCACTCGGCCCTACGGACTCGTCCAAAGGTGGAGCTGAGAGTGAGTGACCTGTAGCCAGAGTAGTGGCCTGTGCGGAGGATCAGGTGAAGCCGAAGCGCTGCACCATGTGTGACCGAGTCAGTGTGATGGTGCGGCGTGCTCTGTCCCGCGTGATATGCGAGCCAAGGTAACTTTGCAGCTCACCCAGGTCTCTGCACGTGTCTCTTCTGCAGCTCCGACTTCACCGGGGTGAGAGCCTCAGTATCAGCAGTGGCAAAGACCGAGTCGTCGACGTACACGAGGATGTAGAACGGCGACAGCGAAGTGTCGGTGCGTAGAAGCAGCGACGGGTCAGCAGTGGAAGGAGCAAACTCAAGAGCCCGCAAGCGTCGTCCTCAGTGTGTCTTGCCACTCACGTGGCACCTCGCAAAGACCATAGACTGGCCGCCGGAGGCTCCACTGGGTACCGGGAGGGAACGACCCAGTGAAGCCAGGTGGGCGGCGCAGCCAGATCTCCTCGTGTAGGTTGCCCTGTAAGAAAGTTGTGCTGAAGTCAAGAGAGTGAAGCTCGTAGTCACGCTGAGCGGCAACGTGCAGCAGCACTGAAAGAGTGGTCATCTTCGGGGTGGGGGAGAAGGTCTGGAAGAAGTCAACTCCCTCCCGCTGACTGAAGCCTCGAGCAACGTAACGAGCCTTGAAGACAGGCGGAAAACCCGGCGGCCGCTTCACCCTGAAGATCTACATGCCAGTGATGATGTTCGCCCTAGGAGGGGGAACCTCGTCAACTTAAGTGCCTGTGGACTTCCAGGATGCCATCTCTGTCAGAATTATGTTGCTATAACTGTTAACTGGAATGGAGTGTTGGCCCTGCCCTCGCTTGGGCAACGCCGACGACTTGGTCGGATGTACGGGAGTAGCAGCCGACCGTTCACAGTGGGAGAGCCGCTCGAAAGGCTACGTTGAGCTGCAGGGGACCACTGTGGCGTTGCTGTCGACCAGGGAGCTCGACAGCCGCAACTAACTTCCCTGGGCGACGGGTGGGCCGTGCGGGAGGTCGACGGAGCAGTCCGTCGACCTACAGTTTGACGGAGAGGTCTGCGTAGCATCCCGTCGACCTGCAGCTCGACGAGGAGGTCTGCGAAGCACCTTGTCGACCTGTAGCTCGACCGTCGGGAGGTCGTCTGAGCAGTTCTGGTAGACGGAAGGGGTCTGTCGACCAGGGGGTAGCTCGACGGGAGCTGTGGTCGACCAGAGGCACCCCGTGGTCGACCGGAAGCACCTGGTGGTCGACCGGGTTGACCGGGTAACCTGCTCGACGAGTTTTGCGGAGGCACGCAAACGTCGTCGAGGTTGCGATGGCGAAGGCGACTGCGGGCTGGTATCCCAAAGTTGATGTGGCTCGTCAGGCGCAGACAACAGCCGACGGATGCCCAATGAGGTAAGTCGGGCCAATCGTCTGTGGCGAGTCGGGCCAATCGTCTGTGCGCACCTGCGAGCGTGCGCACTGCTGTGTTCTACGGGACAACGCTGGACAGCCGCTCTGCTGCAGCGTTGGCACACCGTCGACCTGCAATGTTGGCAGGTCGCCTTTCTGCAGTGCTGGCGCGACTCCTCAGCGCAACGCTGGCGCGTGGTCGACCTGGCTAACTGCACGGTTGCTAGGTGCCTAATGTAGTTATTATGTGATTGCTTGTTGAATCATTCGGTAATCCCAACTTTGGTAGTGGAAACTCTTGCCCATTTCTCCCGTGAATGTGCAAGCACTAGGGAACCAAGCAAAGCTATGATCACCTCTAGTAGTTCGTGCCTACCCCCGTAGTCTAGCTCAGTACTGTTGTAGATGTGAAAATGAGAACGTGAATGGATGAACTATGAATGAAGTGAGTACATATAGGAAACCCTAATTGGGTTGTACCCCCTATGGGATACCCCACTATAGCCTACACAACAGCATAAGCTATAATGTTCTAACACACCCCCATAGGCAAAGTGGGGGAGAACAAGGGGTCACAAGACCAGTCAAGCAAAGCAAAGCAAAGCTCAGGGTGGATCACAAAGTCACCACACAGTCCGAGCACAAGGTCAAGGCCACAAGGCCAGTTCACATGCAAGACGAGACATATATATATATATATAAGACTAAACACGCAAGAGCAGGTATATATATATGCAAGAGTACAAGCAAGGTCAAGAGGTGAGCAAGTGAGGTAGGACAGGTACAAGTCCCAGCTGAGTGCAGAAGCGCTGATGATCACAAGGCGGAAGTGCCTTGGTGAACACATCAGCAGTGTTGGCCTCAGAGGCCACGTACGCAAGTCGCAGCTGACCACGCTGCTGCAGCTCACGAGCAAGGAAGTAACGAAGAGAAATGTGCTTCGTTCTGTGCTCCAAGCGCTGCTCTCGACACAAGGCCAGCATGGCCTTGTTGTCTACGTACAGCACTGGAGGAGAACGAGGCACCTCTCCAAGGTCAGTCAGCAGGTAGGTGAGCCAGCGAAGCTCCTGTGCAGCCATGGCCCCGGCGTAGATCTCAGCCTCACAACTGGAGCCGAGAACAGAAGACGAGCGAGTAGCCCGCCAAGAGACAGAGCCAGAACCAAGACTGAAGGTGTACCCCTGCGACAACCGCTGCGTAGCCTGGTCGTCAGCCCAAGAAGCGTCCGCGTGACCAGTGAGGACCACTGGACTCCGCCCTCCAAGCACTAGCCCCATGCCCGACGTACTGCACAAGTAGCGCAACACCCTCTTCGCTGCAGCCATGTGCTCTGGTCAGTGTCTCCCAGGAGCAACATAGCGTGCAAGAATGCTAAGAGGGTATGCAAGGTCAGGTCGTGTGCAGGTCATCAGGTACATGAGGCAGCCAACAAGCTCTGGGTACGGGCCACTCGACTCTACGGACTCATCCGAAGGCAGAGCTGAGAGCGAGTGGCGAGTAGGCAGAGGAGTGGCCTGAGGCGAGGAGTACGTGAAGCCGAAGCGCTGAAGGACCTGCTGCACCATGTGTGACTGAGTCAAGGTAATGGTGCGGCGTGCTCTGTCCCGAGTGATCTGCAAGCCAAGGTAGCTGCGCAGTTCACCTAGGTCTGTGCACGTGTGTCTCTTCTGCAGCTCGGACTTCACGTAGGCGAGACCAGCAGTGTCAGCAGTGGCAAAGACCAAGTCGTCGACGTACACGAGGATGTAGAATGGCGACAGAGAGGTGTCGGTGCGCAGAAACAACGACGGGTCAGCAGTAGAGGGAGCAAACCCAAGAGCCGCAAGCGTAGTCCTCAGTGTGTCGTGCCACTCACGCGGTGCCTGGCGGAGACCGTTGACTGGCCTTCAGAGGCTCCACTGGGTGCCAGGAGGGAAAGTCCCAGTGAAGCCAGGTGGACGGCGCAGCCAGATCTCCTCGTGCAGGCTACCCTGCAAGAAAGCAGTGCTGAAGTCAAGAGAGTGAAGCTCGTAGTCGCGCTGAGCGGCTATGTGTAGCAGCACCCGAAGAGTGGTCATCTTCGGGGTGGGAGAGAAGGTCTGAAAGTAGTCAACTCCCTGCCGCTGACTGAAGCCTCGAGCCACGTACAGCGCCTTGAAGACAGGTGGAGAGCCTGGCGGCCGCTTCACCCAGAAGATCCACATGCCACTGACAATGTTCGCCCAAGGAGGGGGAACCGCGTCAACGTAGGTGCCTGTGGACTTCCAGGAAGCCATCTCTGCATCCATAGCTGCCTGCCACTGAGAGGAGTAGGGACCCTCTACGGCCTCCGCGTAAGAACGCGGAGTCGGGATGTCTAGTGCATCTAGGTCTCCCTCAGGGGCAAGCAGTACAGACGCGAGATGAGGTGAAGTAGCAGCCAGACACTGGAACTCCTCCTGCCTGTCCTCAAGGACGTCCGTGCCAAGAGCACACTCACCCCCGACGGACGGAGGAGAGACAGACGCAGACTCAGCAACAAGACTAGCAGCGTAGTCTAGACGACAGCGAGCAGCAAAGTCGACGAGCTCAACGACAAGAGCAGACGCAGCAGTGGACTCAAAAGAGGGGTCAGTGACAACAGTAGCAAGAAGACGCGTGACAGTAGGACTGGCAGCACGAAGAGAGTCCGACTCCGGGTCGGCAAGCGCAGGAAGAGAGGACTCAGGAGGAGAAGGCAAAGGGGCACGCAGAGGAGCAGTAGACGGACGCAGAGACATCCGGTGCGTGCTAGGGACAGGAGGAGGACGCTGACGCGAACCACGACCACTAGCGCGAGCAGCACGAACAGGCGATGCGGGACGAGACGCAGGCTCACGACGCTCAGCGAGACCTCCAGTAGGACCAGTGTAAGGAGAGGGAGCAGGCAGTGGGGAGGCCGGCTCTAACAGTGACTGCGACTGGACAGAATGCGGACACTCTACAGAAGAAGGAAGACCAAGAACCTGCTGCAGGAGCGGAACGAAGTACGGCCGAGGCCGCGCGGGGACTCCAGGCACAGCAGGGACAGCACCAGCACCCTCAGCGGCAGCACCAGCGCCAACAGCACCTCCAGCGGCAGGACCTCTAGTCGCACCAGCAGCAGGACCACCGCCAGGACAGACAGCAGCAGTCTCAGCACCAACACCCTTAGTAGCTCCAGCTCCAGTAGGACCCGCAGGCCCAGCAGCTCCAGGACCGGCGGCACCAGCACCCTCAGTGGCCCAAGAAGCTCCAGCTCCAGTAGTACGTCTCCAGCGGCGAGCAAACCACTCGCGCAGCTCCTGTGGAGAGAGGGGCTCCCGCCAAGACGGAGCACTTGGAGAACCTCCAGGCCTTGCACCGCCAGACGCCACAAGGGGAAGTCCAGCGACCGCAGAATCCGCACCTCCAGGCTCAGCAGCTCCAGATGCAGCACCCCCAGGCTCAACACCCTCTGGTGCAGCACCCCCAGACTCAGCAACCCCAGGCTCGTCACCCCCAGGCTCAACACCCACGCGCACAGCACCCCCAGGCTCAGCACCCCCAGGCTCGTCACCCCCAGGCTCAGCACCCACGCGCACAGCACCCCCAGAGTCAGCACCCCCAGGCTCAGCACCCGCAGCAGTACCTGAGTCACCAGCAACCTCGACCGGCTCGACTGCGTCTACCTGGGACACACCTGAAGGGGCAGGAACCTGAGGGGGGAGGGGGTCTACCCGGGGGGGACCTGGCACAAGGAATTCCGGTGGCGGGGGGAGGGAAGGAGTGCGGTAGGGGAAGAGGCGGTAGAAGGGGACTGACTCGTCGAACGTGACGTCCTGGGAGGACAGAACACGACGAGAGGAGGGGTGGTAGAACTGCCACCCTGGAGCGTCAGGGGGGAAGCCAAGGAAGACACAGGGAGCAGCACGAGGGGACAGCTTGTCCGCAGACAAGTCGCGGACAAACGCCCGAGATCCCCAGACACGGAACGCAGACGCATCGCCGACCTTCCCTGTCCACAGGAGGGCCAGGGAGGTACGGACCTTCCCCGGCCGGGAAACCCCGGGGTGAAGGTTGATCTGATGCGCCGCGTACCATACCGCAAACGGCCACAGAAAATGGGGGGCAGCCGCATGCATCATGGACGTACGAGCGACGTCCATGACCATGCCAATGCGGCGCTCAGCAATCCCATTTCGCTGCGGAGAGTCCGGAAGCGTAAAGGTCTGGCGGATGCCCTGTGCTCGACAGTAGGCTCGAAGAAGGCCAGAGGAAAACTCTCCGCCTCGGTCAAAGTGCAGACGCAGAACAGGAAAGTCCGAGCCGAAGCTCCTCCTGAGCTGGAGACGAGCTGCGCGGATCCAGTCGATCAACACCTCAGTGACATCACCCTTGCTGCGCAAGGGGAAGACTGTGGTGAAACGCGAGTAGTCGTCAACCACCAGCAGAAAGTAGCGCTCGTGACCCTGTCCACGGACGCGGGCCGGGCCCCACACGTCCATGTGAAGCGTCTGCAGAGGAGCCTCTGTCGGAGGAAACTGTGAGGAGTGGGGTGCAGCCCGGAGGCACCTCTTGACACAAGGGACACAGGAAGGTCCTGGCCCCGAAGGAAGGGGAGGGAGAGACCGGGGAAGACCAGAGAGAAGAACACGGGAAGCCATGTCCCTGAGACGGGGCAAGGAGGGGTGGCCAAGACGGTGGTGCAACAGGAGAGTCTCGTGAGACAGGAGGCGACACGAGCAGGGGGCAGACTCAGGACCAGACCTGGACGCAGCAGCAAACACCTGACCCGACGCAGCTACCTGGCCAGACACAGGGACAGGAGGAGACTCAGTGGTCAGGGTGTAGAGGCTCGACCCCGGCCGACGGGAGAACGTGGCCAGGTGCCGACCTGTGCGCGCGTCCGTGCAGTGGGTCACCCGCTGACTCGCAGGAGTAAACTGGTGAACCCCCGCATCCTGTAGGGCAGCACCACTCACCAAGTTCGTCGAGAACGAGGGGAGGTACAGACCAGACAGGGCGCCCGAGGGGGCAGCTGGACACGGTAGGACAGTGGAGAAGTGAGAGAGGATAGGACCCCCAGAGGGGTCAGCCAGGGAGACCGCAACCGGCCGGCCAAGCGGCGTGAGTGTGGTGCGGTCCCGAAAGAAGGAGCGAGAATCCCCAGAGTCAAGTGTAAAGGTAAGGGAGGCCGAAGCCGACGCAGTACCTGAGAGCGCAGCCTCACCAGTACCTGAGAGCGCAGCCTCACCAGTACCTGAGAGCGCAGCCTCACCAGCACCTGAGAGCGCAGCAGTGTCACAGGCACCTAGCGCAGCCGTACCAATGCCCGGGTCGGGCGGGAAACACCGGTAACAGTCACCCTCATCACTAATAGACACAGCATACATGGCAGCAAGGATAGCATCAAAGTCTAGCTCAAAGATCGCTACACCAGCTCTAGACAGCTCTCCCCAGCGGGGGATCTCAGAAGCGCCAGGGAACTGCTGACGCCACGCGTCCGTCACGCGGCCAAAGCAGCGCCGGGTGGAGTGGGCACCCCCACACAGCTCACCCGCGCGGTCGCCGCTGCGAAGAACGTAGGTGCACGGGCTAAAGCCTCCACCACGCTGACTCTGCGTGTACCACTCACGGAGCTGCTGAGGCGTGGGGACGTCCCGAGAACGCTGCTGCTACTGCTGCTGCTGCCGCGGACCACCAGCAGAGCCGCTCCGCTGCGGGGCACTACCCCGACCAGCTCCACCTCCTCCGCCACCACCGCCTCCACCTCTGCCACCACCACCGCCTCCGCTCCCACCGCCTCCGCCGCCACCACCTCCGCTGCCGCTGCCGCCGCCACCGCCACCACTCCCGCCACCACTCCCACCGCCACCCCCACTCCCTCCGCCGCCTCCACCTCCACCTCCACCGCCCCCGCCAGCTCCACCCGCGCCCTTGCCCCCCTTGCCCTTGCCAGGGCGGCGTCTCCCGCTAGGGGCAGACGCCGCGCCGACCGACTCAAGACCAAGCAGGTCGGCAGCAGCAGCAGAGGCAACAGAGGGCAGCAGGGGGGAAGGAGAACACCCCTCAAAGATGGGGGTGCGCGGGTCTCCACGGGAGGCTCCTACAGCGACTATTCTCTTCTCTGCCGCTAGGAGGGCCTTCTCGAGGAGATCAACAGTGAGAGTGGTGGGACAGACTGAGAGGAAGTGGTCCCTGACTACGCGAAGGGAGTCAGGGAGGCGAGTGACTATGTAATAGAGAGCGATGTACATGGGGGGGGGGGGTTCTTGGCGCAAAACTCAGCAGGAAGGGCGGCGCGGTAGCGAGTGTCACTAGTGCGGAGGTGCGTAATGAGGTCAGCGACAGTGGGAAAGGCAGTGAGATCAGGAAAGAGGTACGGTAGCATGAGACGGCTCAGTGCAGCAGTGGCAGGGGAAGAGTAGCGCGCAACTACAGCGTCGTACAAGGTCTGAGCACTCTTGTACTGACTAAAGTGCGCGCGCTCAGTGGTGGGCAAGTGGCGACCCACAGCAAGACGTGCAGCAGCATCGCGGGTGGCCCACTGAGAGCGAACAGTGGGGTCAGCATCAGCAGCAGGAGCAGGAGAGGCGCAAGAGGTGAGGTCAAAGAGAGAAAGACCGTCCGCCCTATCGCACTGTAGAAACAACTGCAGGTCGTCGACCCAGACCTCAAAGTCAATGGCTCGACCCTCAGCGTCAAAAGCGAGGACACTGGGGGTAGCCATGACGATAGACTAGCAGTGCAAGCTGTGGGGAAGGGCACCCAATAGCAGGGGGGACGGTGCCGTGCTCACCAGACAGGGCAGGTCGGGCGGCCCGGTGGCAGGGCGGCTCGGCGGCTCCTGGGCAGCTCGGCTGCTGCTGGGCGGCTCGGCTGCTGCTGGGCGGCTCGGCGGCGCCTGGGCGGCTCGGCTGCTCCTGGGCGGCTCGGCTGCTGCTGGGCGGCTCGGCTGATGCTGGGCGGCCCGGCTGCTGCTGGGCGGCTCGGGTGCTGCTGGGCGGCTCAGCTGATGCTGGGCGGCTCGGCTGCTGCTGGGCGGAACGGCTGCTGCTGGGCGGCTCGGCTGATGCCGGACGGCTTGGCTGCTGCTGGGCGGCTCGGCCGGTGCTGGGCGGCGACTCAAGGGCGGCGGAGCCGCGTAGGTAGGGCGGCGAGGCCGCGTAGAGAGGGCGGCGGGGCCGCGTCGAGAGGGCGGCGGGGCCGCTACGTGGGTGCGGCGGGGCCGCAACTGAAGGGCGGCGGGGCCGCGTCAAGAGGGCGGCCGGGGCCGCGTCTAGAGGGCGGCAGGGCCGTGACTGAAGGGCGGCGGGGCCGCGTCAAGAGGGCGGCGGGGCCGCGTCGAAAGGGCGGCGGGGCCGCGTCGAGAGGGCGGCGGGGCCGCGACTGAAGGGCGGCGGGGCCGCGACAGAAGGGCGGCGGGGCCGCGTCGAGAGGGCGGCGGGGCCGCGTCGAGAGGGCGGCGGGGCCGCGTCGAGAAGGCGGCGGGGCCACGTCGAGAGGGTGGCGGGGCCGCGACAAGAGGGCGGCGGGGCCGCGACTGAAGGGCGGCGGGGCCGCGTCAAGAGGGCGTGGGGGCCGCGTCGAAAGGGCGGCGGGGCCGCGTCGAGAGGGCGGCGGGGCCGCGACTGAAGGGCGGCGGGGCCGCGACAGAAGGGCGGCGGGGCCGCGTCGAGAGGGCGGCGGGGCCGCGTCGAGAGGGCGGCGGGGCCGCGTCGAGAGGGCGGCGGGGCCGCGTCGAGAAGGCGGCGGGGCCGCGTCGAGAGGGCGGCGGGGCCGCGACAAGAGGGCGGCGGGGCCGCGACTGAAGGGCGGCGGGGCCGCGTCAAGAGGGCGGCGGGGCCGCGTCGAGAGGGCGGCGGGGCCGCGACTGAAGGGCGGCGGGGCCGCGTCGTAAGGGCGGCGGGGCCGCGAGAGAGGGGCGGCGGGGCCGCGAGGGGAAGGGCGACACGAAGGGTCGCTAAAAAAAAAGAAAGCGCGCCTCGGGGCGCGCTTCGGTGGGCCCTAGAAACAGTCCCTAGGAGGGGACCTGCTCTGATTCCATGTGAAAATGAGAACGTGAATGGATGAACTATGAATGATGTGAGTACATATAGGAAACCCTAATTGGGTTGTACCCCCTATGGGATACCCCACTATAGCCTACACAACAGCATAAGCTATAATGTTCTGACAGTAGAGTGACTCTTCGCATGGTGCGGTGAGCGTGGACGGCCCCGCAAATACCTTCAGATAGGAGCCGAATTTTGCACCTACTAAGTCGTTCGTAGGCCGGCAGCAGCGATAGTCGCCATGGTCGACCCCGTAGTTGATGCGGGCGTAGCGGACACCTTGGAGGCACGTTTGGCTGATGCAAGGAGATGCCACGTGGATGGCGAGTACGGGACGATCCCCTTGGTGATCGCCAAGTTGGGCATCCGGTCGCAGTGGGCGATGGAACACCCATCCGGTCCTGCTTCTCCTCGACCGGTGCGCAACGAAGGTGGCGTCGACGAAGAGGTCGACGGTGGTGCACGAGTCAGCGGTAGCGAAGGCACGAGCCAGAGAGGGGTGATCAAGTTCGACGGTGGTGTCGATGTCAAACTCATATGCTATAGTCTGTGTAGGCTATAGTGGGGTAGACAATATGGGGTACAACACTTCTAGGTTTTCCTACTTGTACCCACCTGCTTGCTAGTTCATTCATTCCTCATTGGAATGAATATGGGGTACAACACTTCTAGGTTTTCCTACTTGTACCCACCTGCTTGCTAGTTCATTCACATGGTATAGAGCATGTTCCCTAGTGGGAACGCTTCCTTGGGCCCACCACTGAAAACTATTTTTCTGACTGGAGCGACAGTTGCTCCTGCTCGAGGCGCGCCTTGTGGGCTGCCCTTCTGTCGACCTCTCTTAGAGGCCCCTCTCACGGCCCCTCGCGCCACCCTCAGCGCCGCCCCGACGGCCCCGTAGCCGCCCTTCCAGGCCCCTAGCGGCCCCGTCACCGCCCCTACGCGGCCCCGTCGCTGCCCCTAGCGGCCCTGTCGCCACCCCTAGCGGCCCTGTTGCCGCCTCCCTACCTACGCAGCCCCGTTGCCGCCCCTACACTGCCCCGTAGCCGCCCCTAGCAGCCCTGTCGCCGCCCCTACGCGGCCCCGTCGCCGCTCCCCTCCCTACGCGGCCCTGTCGCCGCCCCTACACGACCTCGTAACCGCCCCTACACGGCCACGTCGCCGCCCCTAGAGGCCCCGTCGCCGCTCCCCTCCCTACGCGGCCCCATCGCCGCCCCTAGCGGCCCCATCCCCGCCCCTACCCGGCCCCGTCGCCGCCCCTAGCGGGCAGCCGAGCCGCCGAGGCGCCCACCAGCAGCAGCCGCCACTGCATCAGCCGCCCCTGGAGCAGCCGCCTTCGGAGCAGCCGCAACTGCAGCAGCCGCCCCTGGAGCAGCCGCCACTGGAGCAGCCGCCCCTGCAGCAGCCGCCACTGGAGTAGCCGCCCCTGGAGCAGCCGCCACTGCAGCAGCCGCCCCTGGAGCAGCCGCCACTGCAGCAGCCGCCCCTAGAGCAGCCGCCACTGCAGGAGCCGCCCCTGGAGCAGCCGCCACTGGAAGAGCCGCCCCTGGAGCAGCCGCCACTGCAGCAGCCGCCCCTGGAGCAGCCGCCACTGCAGCAGCCCCCACTGGAGCAGCCGCCACTGCAGCAGCCGCCCCTGGAGCAGCGACCCCTGCAGCTGCCGCGGAGCTCTTGCTCTACAGTGGTAGCGGCATCGCCATTGCCGCCATCGTACGCCTGCCCTTCTCGCCACTGGTGAGCACTGCCCTGCCTGTACTGCTGTTAGTGCTGCTCTTACTACTGCTGCTCTTTCTACTGCTACTGCTGCTCCTGGCGTGCCCAGATGCAGCTCCAGCGTCGCCCGCGTGAGTCCCTCACCCCCCAACAGCTTCGTGAGTGGTACGCTAGTTGGGGTTGTCGGGGTGGCCGTAGTGGGATTCGTCCTGGAGTGAGTAGTTCTGCAGCTGCTTGTAGTGGCAGGATGCAGCTCCAGCGTCGCCCGCGTGAGTCCTTCACCCCCCAACAGCTTCCTGAGTGGTACACCAGTTGGGGTTGTCGAGGTGGTAGTAGTGGGAGTCGTCCTGGAGTGGGTAGTTCGGGAATTTCTTGTAGTGGCCCAGTGCAGCAGCAGCGTTGTCCGCGCGAGACAATTTCACCCCAGCAGCTTCGTGAGAGGTACGCTCATAGTAAAGGGTCGCTGAGTACTGCTCGCTGCCCGTACGTTATTAGCACGGGTGTCCGAACTAGTCAGACTTGCGGGACGTGTGGTCACACGGAGTCCCGCTGCTTTGCGCGTCTAAGCGACACTTAGCGTACAGAGTTTGGCGACGATGCTGAGCTCCCCGACTAAGTGGAGCTGCTTAGGCAGAGGGTATATATCTTTGCTCTTGACTCTGATGCTATTCTCACTGCAATGTATGCATTGTCTACTAGTGCCGAGGGAGTCTGTCACCTGTGTGTGCCGCCTGACCCCGGTATCCAGTCTGCTGCTCTAGGTGCTGGTGAGGCTGCTGCTCTAGGTGCTAGTGTGTCTGCTGCCCTAGGTGCTGGTGAGTGTGCTCTCTCAGGTACCACGTCGGCTCAGGCCTTACACACCTTCACCCTTGACTCGGGTGCTTCCCGCTCCTTCTTTCGAGACCGCATCACGCTTACACCGCTTAGTCGGCCGGTTGCGGTCTCCCTGGCGGACCCCTCTGGAGGTCCTGTCCTTGCTAGCTTCTCCACTGTCTTACCGTGCCCGGCAGCCCCCTCTGGCACCCTATCAGGACTCTACCTCCCCTCATTCTCTACGAACTTGGTGAGTGGAGCTGATCTACAGGATAGGGGGGTTGACCAGTTCACTCCTTCGAGTCAGCGGGTGACCCACTGCACGTGTGCTCGGACAGGCCGACACTTGGCCACGTTCACCCGTCGGCCGGGGTCGAGCCTGTACACACTTACAACTGAGTCTCCTCCAACTGCTGAGTCTGGTCAGGTAGCTGTGTCGAGTCAGGTGTTTGCTACATCGTCTAGGTCTGGTCCTGAGTGTGCTACCTGCTCATGTCGTCTCCTGTCTCACCAGACTCTCCTTTGGCACCACCGCCTTGGTCACCCCTCCCTGCCTCGTCTCCGAGGCATGGCCTCCCGTGTCCTTGTCTCTGGTCTTCCCCACTCTCTCCCTCCCCTACCTCTGGGGCCTGTCCCTACCTGCGTCCCCTGTGTCGAGGGGCGACAGTGCGCCGCCCCTCACTCCTCCGAGTTTCCTCCGCCAGAGGCTCCGCAGCAGATTCTTCACATGGACGTGAGGCGCCCCGCCCGCGTCCGTGGATAGGGGCACGAGCGTTACATCGTGTTGGTGGTTGACGACTACTCGCGTTACACCACAGTCTTTTCCTTGCGCAGCAAGGGTGACTTCACTGAGGTGTTGATCGACTGGATCCGCACAGCTCGTCTCCAGCTCAGAGAGATTTTCGGCTCGGACTTTCCTGTTCTGCGTCTGCACTCTGACAGAGGCGGGGAGTTTTCCTCTGCCCGTCTGGGAGCCTTCTGTTGTGCACCGGGCATCGGTCAGACCTTCACGCTTCCGGCCTCTCCACAGTAAAATGGGATTGCTGAGCACCGCATTGGCATGGTCATGGACGTCGCTCGTACGTCCATGATGCATGCAGCTGCCCCCCATTTTCTGTGGCCGTTTGCGGTTCAGTACGCAGCGCATCAG